GAAAATGCCAAATTTGATGTTCGGGACACATGCGGGCGGTGGCACTGGGGGCTTCGGTGGAGCTCCCTATGGGGCCACGAAACGCTCTACTCGGTGTGTCAAAATGCCTAAAGTGGTTTTCGGGACGCATGCGGATGGTGGCACTGGGGCCTTCGGTGGAGCTCCCAACTAAATTTGGTTTTCGGGATGCATGCGGGCAGTGGCACTGGGGGCTTCGGTGGGGCTCCCTATGAGGTCACGAAGCGCTGTACTGGGTGGGTGAAAATGCCAACGGTTTTCGGGACGCATGCGGACGGAAGCACTGGGGCCTTCGGTGGAGCTCCCTCTGGGGCCACGAAACGCTGTACTGGGTGAGCGAAAATGCAAACTTTGATGTTCGGGACGCATGCGGGCGGTGGCACTGGGGGCTTCGGTGGAGCTCCCTATGGGGCCACGAAGCGCTCCACTGGGTGTGTCAAAATGCCAAGTTTGGTTTTCGGGACGCATGCGGACGGAATCACTGGGGCCTTCGGTGGAGCTCCCAACTAAATTTGGTTTTCGGGATGCATGCGGGCGGTGGCACTGGGGGCTTCGGTGGGGCTCCCTATGAGGTCACGAAGCGCTGTACTGGATGGGTGAAAATGCCAACGGTTTTCGGGACGCATGCGGACGGAAGCACTGGGGCCTTCGGTGAAGCTCCCTCTGGGGCCACGAAACGCTGTACTGGGTGAGCGAAAATGCAAACTTGGGTTTTCGGGACGCATGCGGACGGTGGCACTAGGGGCTTCGGTGGAGTTCCCTCTGGTGCAACGAAACGCTGTACTGGGTGGGTGAAACGCAGGGAGGAGGAGGAGGAGGAGGAGGAGGAGGAGGAGGAGGAGGAGGAGGAGGAGGAGGAAGGAGGGATGAGGAGGAGGAGGGAGGAGGAGGGAGGAGGAGGAGGAGGAGGAGGAGGAGGAGGAGGAGGAGGAGGAGGAGGAGAGGGAGGAGGAGGAGGAAGGAGGGAGGAGGAGGAGGAAGAGGAGGAGGGGGGGGGAGGAGGAAGGAGGGAGGAACGCGGGGCGCTGTCTCTTCAAAACGAAGACCCAAAACCACCGGATGGCTGGGAACTAAACACAGAAACGTAAACTTTCGAAGGCCAACGCGTGACCTCCAAAGTTCATGCTTGGTCAAGTGTTCTTCTGTGAGTCATCGACCCCTGACGATGACAAGCGGAGACAGGGACGGAAGGGCGCCGACCATCACAAAGCTAGGCAACCACACGGCATCCCTGACACCTGCAGGTCAAACTTCTGGAACGCTGACACCGGTTCAGTAAATACGGACGATGTCCGGAGCCAAATAAAACCCTTCGGGAGTGTCCGATAGCCCAGCGTCTAACAAGCCCGCAGGGATGGGGTTCACAACTGGTCGCAAGAGAGCGCCCGGTCGGGCGCTCGTCCCTCTTGTGCGCCACGCAGGCGTCCACCGTCCCGTTCGTGCATGCCGCCAGAGCCGTCTGGCGGGAAAGGCAAAGAAAAAGGGGAGGAGGAGGAGGAGGAGGAGGAGGAGGAGGAGGAGGAGGACGAGGAGCAGGCGGAGGAGAAGGAGGAGCAGGCGGAGGAGGAGGAGGACGCTCACCTTCGGCCCAAGTCGCGTCCTCTGGCTCCTCTCGCTGGCGCCGCCGGCTCCCGGCAGTCTGCGATTTTCGCGGCGACGGAGACTGCGATAGCGACAGCGAGCGCGCGACGACAGCGAGCAGCGAACACGCAGGCGGGACAAAACGTAAAGTCGGGGCGCTGACTTACTTTCTTCCGTAAGTTAAGCTTCGATTTCCCAATGCATACCAAAGGAAAACCGAAAACAAACTGCGAAACAATTAAGGAGCAGGGAGCCCCTCCCCAACGCAAAGAGTTCCGTCTTCAGCGCCCCGACTGTAAGCGGACGACAGCAAACGCGCAGGCGGGAAGCCTGGGCCAGCGGGGCGAAACACGCGGGCGGGCAAGCGAGAAGGGACGCCAGCTGCGCACTGTGCAGGGGTCGCAGGGGGGAGGAGGTCGCCATCCAGAAGAGAACCGCGGGCTGGGAGGCCCAGGGGTTCTGCCTCCACCGAGGGGAGGGGATCCCGATCTCGGGGATGGCAGTGTTCTGGCTCCTGGGGTGGCAACTCGACGACCACCGACACGGACATCTGGGATCATCTCCCCCCTGGCCAATGCTCTGGCCTCCGATCCAGGCCTGTAGGTGATCCACATCTGTACTCATCAGTCGTATGCGTAGGGGCGATGCCGCTCGTCGAAGGGTCCCGAGGCATCCCTCGGCTGGCAGGGGCGATGGTCTGCGGCTCGAGCAAGGCGTGGGCCACACCCTGCAGCCATCGCGCTACCACAGGGATCGTTGAGGGCGTGCCTGGCCCCCGCGGGCCTCTGCCGGGAGCAGGCCCCCGACCTCGCTCTGAGGAGCGGCCCGACCGCCAGGGCCCGTCCCGAGCCGACAGTTCCTCCCTCCTCCTCCCCCCTCCTCCCCCCTCCTCCCTCCTCCTCCCTCATCCCTCCTCCTCCTCCCCCCTCCTCCTCCCCCCTCCTCCTCCCTCCTCCTCCTCCCTCCTCCTCCTCCTCCTCCCTCCTCCTCCTCCTCCTCCTCCCTCCTCCTCCTCCCTCCTCCTCCTCCTCCTCCTCCTCCTTCCTCCTCCTCCTCCTCCCCTCCTCCTCCTCCTCCTCCTCCTCCTCCTCCTCCTCCTCCTCCTCCTCCTCTCCTCTCCTCCTCCTCCTCCTCTCCTCCTCCTCCTCCTCCTCCTCCTCCTCCTCCCTCTCCTCCTCCTCCTCCTCCTCCTCCCTCCTCCTCATCCCTCCTTCCTCCTCCTCCCTCCTCCTCCTCCTCCTCCTCCTCCCTCCTCCTCCTCCTCCTCCCCCTCCTCCTCCCTTACCTCAGCGGTTTGGCTGCACCGCCCGCGGACCACGCGCGGCAACCCGGAGGGCGTCAGGGGGCGGGAGGGGAGCCCTAGAAAGGGGCAGAGGAGGGGCCGCCAGCCGCCGCCCGGCGAAGCCCCGGCCTGGACCCAGCGGCTCGTCCCCGCGGCCCGCCCGCGAGCGGGCGCAGTCGGCCCTGAGCAGGTAGACAAGCGCATTCCACTACTCGCAAAGTAACTGCTCGCAAAAGGCCTGGATTCGCCGCGGAAGATCTGCGGCAGATGACATCGAAGCAGGCATGTGTGCTTTTCGGACGTCTGCGAGTCGGCAACTTTGCGAGTAGTGGAACGCGCTCGGTGAGCAGGAGGTCGCGCCGACGCCTGCTTGCTGGAGGGCTCTGGGAGAGCGGCCGCCGGGGGGCGCTGGAGGTTAGCCCTGGCGCTGGGCAGGGGACCCCTCCGAATCCAGTGCTGATGAGATCTGTGGGCCTCTCGGGCGGCCTGGAGGTGCAGTCGAAACATGGCCACAGGGACGTGGATCAGAAACGTGAGCCTCTCTCGAGGGGCCAAGGTCCCGTGGATACCCAAAACGACAGGATTCCAAGATGGAGGTACCTTAAGTCGGGCCTGTCCCCCATACAGGCTGATTTTCGAGAACACATTCAAAATACAGTAGTTCAAACATATTAACAAAAATGGTCACAAAATCATGCCAAAATAAAAGAATCGTCCCCTGACTATTTTCGACTATTGTGGAATATTCCTCCTGTAGAGGGAAAGGCCCGACTCAAAGGTACCCCTCCAAAGCTGAGGCTGTCCTTGACCCTCGGGCAAGCGGCACCACCGTCGCCACACTCGGGGGTCGTCTTCTGCAGTGCGGGCGCGGTCGCAAGAAACCCTCACGAGAAACCCAACCCTGGAAGCCCGCGCGCGGGGCGCACCCGAGGGGAAGCCTGGAGCAGCACGAACGCAGCAGCTCCTCCAACGGCCGCGGGAAGTCGCTGCGGCAGCGCGCGGAGCGAAGAAACCCAGGGCACCCTGACGAAAAGCAGATGGCTTCTTGCTGCGCGCCCCCACTGTATCTTGGTGGAGGGGGCCGCCGATGTGGGGTTGCTGCTGCCGAGCTCTCGGCGCCCGGATCTAATCACGCGGCCTCCGCGCGCGGCCGGAGCATGGCCACAGGACCCTGGGCCAAGAGATGCGAGGGCCCTTCGCCCGAAGGCCCAGGGCCGAGCGGAGATACCCGCGACGACGAGAAGTCCGGGGTGGAGGCCCTCGGGCACGGATCTTTTCCGATGGGCCTGGAGCAGCCCGTCGCACACGGGCGCACGAGAAGGATGCAGGGGCCCTGAAAGGCCATGCCGACACTTTGCGAGCGTGGCTTGGCCAGCGAAAGTGGCCGAGGATGGGCCGAAGGGAAAGGATGCAAGGGTGGAAAGTCGCTCATCCGTAATTACTATGCGGGCTGACTGACAGAAGGCTTCCCCTGCCGTCTTGTAAACCCCCCACCTGAGAAGAAGGCCGTCCTCCTCGCGCCACCCTTCCTTGTGCGGGCCCGTGGAGCTCTCGGGGAACCCACGGGTGGCCGTGAGCAGGCCGCAGGCGCTGAGAGGAATGGCGGGGAACCAACGCGTGGAACGTCAGGCTCGCACGGTGTGGCAATTGGGGACAGCACGGGACACACATCTCCGACGATACGTTCTTCTTTTTCAATCCCGGTGCCTCTACCCTCGACTGGGGCCTCCGGGTCCCGTTGGCGGGCCCCGGGGCCATCGAGAATGGATCGGGGGGCGGAGGTCGGGCCCCGTGGAACAGGTCGGGACCTCTGGGGCCTCGCATTGAGAACATCACATCGTCAGATGTCAGGGAAGGTCATTGGAAGTGAGCCTTCGGGATGAAGCGGCGCACAGCTGCAGACAGGCACGGGCTCGGGCTCGGGCCTCGGGCGCTGTCACGGGGAGCCGGGCTTGTGCTCGGGCCCGGGCTCGGGCTCGGGCTTGTGCTCGGGCTCGTGCTGGGACTCGGCTCGGGAGCTGATCGCTCGGGGAGATCAGCGCTTTCTGACAGGCCTCGAGATCCGCCCAAAGAGACTCAGCATCCTGTCTGCCCGAGCTCTCTTTCAAGTGAGGCTGGCCTTCTGCTTCATGACGTCGTCCACCTGTGCCACCCAGTCCTCCATCACCTCAGAGGGGCGCTACTGCTTAGAGTCTTAGAGGCCCACCTATGAGCCGTGGCTTCCGTTGCAGTCGGAAGCCAAGCCATGATATCCAGGCGTCGGCCGGTGTTTCCCGAGATACCACATGCACCCACCACACGGATGAGCCAGCTTTCACCAGTCTGTCAACCTTGGCGGCTCCAATGGGAGCCAGGTAAGGGGGCGGGAGGAGAACAAGAGGTGGAGGAGGACAGACTGCAGTAGAGCGGAATGGGGGAGAAAGAATTACACACTTAGGAGCGAGGAGGAGGTCGGAGAAGAAACTATAACTTTGATTCCCCTCCCTCTCTCTTTCGGTCCATCCGTCCAGCCCCTCCTTTCCCCTCTCACTCTTCATTTCCCTGCCATGCCCTGCCTTTCATCCCCCCCCCCCCCGCCCCATACCCCGCACATCCCTCGCCTCCCTCCGTCCCCCTTTGGCACCCTTCCCCACGTCCTCCTCATCCACCTCGCCTGACGCAGTTCCAGTCTCCACCCTCCTCCTGAACTTCGTCCCTCCTCCCTCCATCCCACACCTTGCCTCCCCTGCCTACTCGTCTGGAGCTGCAGGAAAAGGGCGCTGAGCGAGAGGGACACCAGACCCCGGGGCCTACCTTAAGCACCTTAGAGAGAGCGGCCGCGTAGGGACCGAGCAAGGAGAAGGGGAGTCCCCCTCTACCTACCCCCGCCTGGACTCCCCTGGTCGAGCCCTCCTCCTCTCCTCTCCTCCTCCTCTCTCCTTCCTCTCCCCTCCCCTCTCCTCCTCCTCTCCTCCTCCTCTCCTCTTCTCCTCCCTCCTTCCTCTCCCTCCGTCCTCTCTCCTTCTCCCCCTCTCTCCCTCCTCTCCTCTCCCTCTCTCCTCTCTCTCTCCTCTCCTCCTCTCCCCCTCTCCGCCTCTCTCCTCCTCCTCTTCCTCTCCCCTACCCCTCTCTCCCTCCTCCTCCTCTCTCCTCCCTCTTCCCTCCTCTCTCCTCCTCTCTCTTCTCTCCCTCCTCCTCCTCCTCCTCCTCTTCCTCTCTTCTCCTCTCCTCTCCTCTCCCCTCTTCCCCCTTTCTCTTCCTCCTCCTCGTCCCTCTCTCCTCTCCTCCCTCTCCTTCTCTCTCCTCCTCCTCCTTCCTCCTCTCTCCTCCTCCTCTCCTCATCCTCTACTCCTCCTCTCCTCTCCTCCTCCTCTCCTCTCCTCTCTCCTCCCTCTCCTCCCCTCCTCCTCTCCTCCTCCTCCCTCCTCTCCTCCTCCTCCTCCTCCTCCTTCTCTCTCCTCTCCTCTCTCCTCCTCTCCTCCTCCTCCTCCTCTCCTCCTCTCTCCCCTCTCCTCCCCCCTCTCCCTCTCTCCTCCTCTCCCCTCTCTCTCTCCTCCTACTTCCTCCCCTCCCTCTCCTCTCTCCTCCTCCTCCTCTCCTCTTCTTCTCCTCCTCCTCTCCCCTCTCCTCCTCCTCCTCCTCCCCTCCTCCTCCAACTCCTTCCTCCCTCCTTCCCTCCTCCTCCCCCCCCTCTCCTCTCTCCTCCTCCTTCCTCCTCTCCACCTCCTCCTCCTCCTCATCCCCTCCCCTCCCCTCCTCCTCTCCTCCTCTCCTCCTCCTCCTCCTCCCCCCTCCCTCCTCCTCTCCTCCTCCTCTCCCCTACTCACTCATCCTCCTCCTCCTCCCCACCTCCTACTCCTCCTCCTCCTCCTTTCCCCCGCCCCCTCTTTATTTCGCCCTGCGGAAGCTACCCCCCTGCCTCCCCTTTCGCGTTCCAGAAGCCCCCCCCCCCCCTCGCGACCGCGTGATTGGGTGACCCGTTGGGCGTTTGAGTGGCCCGTTGCGTCCGTCCTGTGTGGCCCAGCGCGCGGCCGGATGCGTGTTACTGTGGCCAGCGCTGGCCCGTCAATTAACAACAGTACGTAGGGGCTTCTTTCATAAGTTGAACAAGCACCTTGGTAGCAACAACACTAAGAATCAGAACAATGATGATGACGGCGGCGGTGGCAGTGGACGTAATCATGACAATCGTGGTTGTGACCGTAGTAGTAGTAGTAGTAGTAGTAGTAGTAGTAGTAGTAGTAGTAGTAGAAGTAGTAGTAGTAGTAGTAGTAGTAGTAGTAGTAGTAGTAGTAGTAGTAGTAGTAGTAGTAGTAGTAGTAGTAGTAGTAGTAGTAGTCAGTAGTAGTAGTCAGAAGTAGTAGTAGTAGTAGTAGTAGTAGTAGTAGTAGTAGTAGTAGTAGTAGTAGTAGGGGTAGTGGTAGTAGTAGTATGTAGTAGTAGTAGGTAGTAGTAGTAGTAGTAGTAGTAGTAGTAGTAGTAGTAGTAGTAGTAGTAGTAGTAGTAGTAGTAATAGTAGTAGTAGGAGTAGTAGTAGTAGTAGTAGTAGTGGTAGTCGCAGTAGTGATAGTAGTAGCCGAAAGAATCGCGGAAGTAGTAGTAGTCGTGGGTTCGTAGTCGTAGTAGGTGTAGTAGTAGTA